AAGCAGTTGTTATATCAAGCCGTTTGCGTGTCATTTTCATGATTTTTCGAACTCCCAAAAATATAATACAAGTCCTTGATAGCTATCATGCGAGGCTACCCACCAGCCTTAACATATGGAATATTATGTGGTTAAGTGGTTAGGTCAGTTCGTTGATAAATGAAAGGTAAAAATGAAAATCCTTGCTGCTCCATTAAGCGTTGAATTTGTCGCGATGATCTCTGTCAGTAAAAATCAGACATTTTGGCAACATTTTATTGTACCTACTGTCTTCATTTAAGGTTTTTGTAGAAAATCACTGAATAACTCACCGAATATCATGTGAAAAAATCGACTTACAAACATTAGGAAAACTTTGTTTCCTGAGCATATGTGAACTCGATATAAGTTATTTGCAAGTACAGGCAGCATTTCATTAGAAAACTTCGCTAGAGACTTCTCAAAAAACTTATATCACTTAAAGGCACTGTTAACAAAAAAGTAAGGGTACCCTTTTTTTGACGGTAATAGGTAGAACTACTTCAGAATAAAGCGATAACAACGAAAAAGCGCAAAAAAANCTACCGTAAAAAATTCATAACAAAAAAAAAACAATAGAAATACAAACATAGAATAGAAATAACAGTTGAATACTAGCTCCTGTACGAGGCGGTCGACCAGCTGATCATTCCTGGCTATTTGCCAATCTGCGTATCGATTTTTCACCAGCTTCGCTCCAGTGCGAACGTGGTGAATGACAATTTGAACACGTAGTCAGCCTAACGAGGGGCGGAGGCATCGCGTCCCCCACTGTTCCTGGCCTTATTGTGCCCTATCCAGCCGTTTTCCGACCTAATTCCTGCACAAATGTTATCAGAGGGGGCTCAGAATTCTAACCATGTGCATATCTTCGAAACCATTTAGTCGTTAACAGTGCCTTTAACAGAGTAGAAGGTCAACATCGGGTTTAGCTCATTCAGAGAGAGGAAGATACGCATAGCAGTCTGAATCATTCGTTTTTTTCGGAAGACGATGTAAATATTTGATGCATTCCGCTCATATCATAAATACTTCGCTTTTCACTGTCGAATGTTCGTTGCAGCACCTCTGGACAACAAACTTTCCTGACCCTATCGTCTATCCTTACTGCATCCCCCAGCCATCCCTCACCGGTTCTTTCCGAATAGTAAGCTTCTGCAAGCGAGAGCTTAAGATAAAATACCCTCGCTACCTCTACTCACGTCATCACCACATGACAGAAAATTAGTAAAAATGAGTAAAAGAAATTCTCTGAGAAAATCAAAGTGAAAACGTTGTGATATGTATGTGAACGTTGCTCACAATTTCGTGAGGAGATTTCAAATTATACAAGAACTGTTATTAACATAGTGGCGTCATGGGAATGAAGACTGAGACATGTGTAATGGAAATAAGAGAGAAATGGGAACAGAACAGCCAAGCTCTCTCGATCTGTAGTGGGAGCACTCATCCTACAGACCATCACCTCCTGCGGCAACGGATCTCGGCCCCCTCAGCGGTGGAATTGGTCTCGAAAGCGAAGTCGAAACGTCAGGGCATCTAGTGAGCAGTTTTACCTGAAAGCCTTGCAAAACAAACAACTCTATTCTATTCTAGACTAGACTAACATGACCAAGCAACATGTCGGAGACTCTGTGTCTCAAAGGAGTATTTTGTTTATATTACATGTAGGTGTGTGCATTAATTTCCGCCGCAGAATTCGAAGGGTCGTTGCGCGGGCCATGTTAGAGGTTTACCGGTGAAACCTTCCATGTTCTGTAAGGTAGGGTATTGGCTACCTACTTAAGGGCAGACGGATCAGCTTTTCCCCAAAATCTCGTTGCACTCAAACTGATTGGTCATGGAACGTGATGAACCGTTTCTCCGGGGGGCCCTTCCCCTCCTGTTTGATTTCAAGAAAACTGGCGTTGAAGCCCACCGGATGCTTCTATGGAGGACAAGCTTCATCTGAACGAACCTGCTGAGATAGTTTTTCTTCACACGAGAGCCTGCAACAAAAGCGGAATGTTTATCGCGAAAAAGTAATGCTGTGCGCGCATTTGGTGGCTGGATCAAAAGGGTGTTTTGAACTGTGAGCTGCTGAGCCCGAACAAAACTGTTACTGCTGACCGCTACGAACACCNNNNCTCTCACCTAAAAGCGGCCGTTAATTGCAAGAATATATCCAGAGGTGCTGTTCCACCGCGAACATGCCAGACCCCATGTTGCGGGGAATGTCCTTTAAAAAAATTGCAGTTGTTGGATGGGATCAGCTTGTTCAGCCCGCATACTCTCCAGATCTTGCTCTTTCTGACTGCCACCTACTCCGGCCCATGTAAGTCAGTTTGACAGATACACGCTTCCAGAATCCCGAAGAAGTGCGAAAATATGTAGGTGGATGACTGGATTGCCTAAAAAGATGAAGATTTTCTTCGAGGCGGAGTCAACAAGATACCAGAAAGATGGCAAGAAGTTGTAGCTGACGATGGGCAATACACTGGTTAATGTACATTTTGTTTAATTTTGTAATAAATGTGTTTTTGAACGCAAAAATACGGCGGAAATTAATGCACACACCTAATATATAAAGAGAAGGCTGTCATCCGTTCGCTTTACATCGACTGGAGAGAGTTCCTTGCTAGAGCCTTCTGAGTGCTAGTGTACTTTAGAGTGAGACCTGATACTCTGTAGGCAATAGTGTGAGCGGCTCCAATGATTCAAAATTCCAGTGGTGGCTTGGAATTGACCTCGTCTGACATTATACTTCATTCGAATAAAACTCTGTGAACTTTCACCTCTTTCTGATTCTAGCAGCGTTGCATGCCAATTAGGACGAGCGTTGATGGGCGAGGTGGTTCTTTATTGAATAGAATGCACTCATCGTACTTCTGCGTGAGCCATTAATAGTCATTTTCCTCGAGTTCGACCAGACCTGCTTTCCATCCCTTCCCTCTGTAAAGTAGGAAGAAACACTGTGGTAGGTTGCAGGTCTAATTATACCACCCTCATGCTCCCTCCACCGCTGCTTCCGCCACCCACGCACATATCTTCTCCGTGCATCTGTTTTGAAAACCGTTTACTTTGTTATAGATTTATGATGGGAATCCGCTTTCCTTGACTGTTCTGTTGCCATTCCTCCTGCAATTGAATTGCATTTTTGGTTCCTGTTCTCTGAGGTCATGCCATTATTCCCTTGGCATACTGGCTTTTTTTCATTTTCGTCATTCTAGTCGAATGGCTGTAATGACTGGTCCTGCATATAAAAGCTCCTGATTTTTGGTTGTTTCGGTGTTCTTGCAATCAATGTTTTGACTTGCTTATACTGAGTTGACTTTCTTAAATTGAATATATGATTTCTCGAAATGTATCTTCAACAGGAATTGATACTGTTGTTTGATAGGAGGCGTGCTTATCGGTAACAGTAGGCTTCACTTCGTCTGAGAAGCATTCACTGGGGTGAATCCTCCATCTTGAGGTCACCCTCGTTTCATTTTATGAAGTTGCACGGGAATTCTCGACGAGTTTTGTGTAATTTGAGCTCGTCATTAGTGTGCTTCTGTGACCTGTGTTGAGGACCAAATCTTGTGAAAAGCCTCTTTCATCTCATCTCGATTATGAGTCAATTGGAATTACCCACTACGCTACATGTCGGCGCGACTTCTGATACATTTTTCTAAGAAGATCGTTACCTTGAGGGATCGTTGCTTTATTTTCGGTTTCATCCTTTCATGAATTGTTTGACATACGCATCTTCGAGTGTCTCGAAAGAGAACAAATGCATAAAATAGTTTCCTACGACTGGTTTTAAATTAAGAGCCTGTGTGTCTGAAATTTGTGCTCGTTTTGCGACGATTTCAATATAGGAGTGATTAACATTCGATGTTCACCAGTTGCACTCTCTTCAGCCGCTCGTATCGATCACCTCATAGAGAGTTCCTGCCAGCATTTTCAACGACCGTTGCTTGTCGCATATCAATTCACTCTCAGCCTTCACGCCATTATGACGTCTTTATCATGCCGATAATTTGACGGAACGTCCCCGAATCAATGTTCAGTCTTTTATTGCTGCCATTTACATGTGAACTTATAAAGCGACTGTTTTTCATAAGGCTCACCTTTTCAACATTGGAAATTCTTGCTGATCGTCCATCCCTAACTTTCGCAATATCCTTATCCCGGAAATCAACGTGAATCGCTTTTCTGCTTACAGAAATACCAAACGAGCAGCTTAAAACGAAGCGCACATGTTCCATTTGAAATTTTACGCCGTTGCAGTCGCTATTAGTCTGCCTTTTACACAATCTCTGTTCGCACATTGCTGTATTCGCTCGTTGTGCTCGTCCTATTCCTTGAAGGCACAGTTTACAATGATTCTAAAGTACCCTTGCAAAGTTGGAAAGCGGATGTGTTACTGGAAAGCATTTGTAGAGAAGAAAGCGAGAAAATTTGCGGGATTTTTGAAATGAAAAGATATTTAGTTAAAAGTGATATATTTAATTAGAAGTTACGAGTTACTATTACGGTAGTGGCACGAAAGGGTTATCTGAACAGAATTCCAGCTGTAGCAATCGCGAAGAGCTGTCTTAGACAGCCTTTCACTGTCGTCATGGGTCACGATCAGTTGTTGAGGTTTCCAACATGGGTGTCCCTTTGAATAATGCAGCCTCTATAACGCCGTTGAAACTCGTCCGCGTTTGGGTGTGGCATACAGAAGACACTACCTTCGAGCTTTAATAGCCCCTATCTAGGCTATTACCCGATCTGATAGTGCCACGTTTGATATACGGGTGATTAATTTCACATCCACGTGATCCACAGATTAGTTTCGAGGGGACATCTCTAAAATCATTCTCATCGTGACCTGTGCCTTTGAATAATTTCATGGTTTGCAATCTCGTGGTCACTGTAGACGAGTTTCCCTCAAATACTCTTTCCGCTAATTTTTTTATCTTCATTCAGGTGCTCCACTGCTACTCAAATCGCCTTATCTCCAATTTCCTTTGATGTGCATTTCTCAAGATACGAGTTTTTACTATGTAACAATTGCTGTCATTATTGCAACATCACTGTTTTATTGTAGGTAAGCGATCATAACTTTTCGAATAATGCTAATTTAATTAATTTGACTAATTCAATCAGCATTCAAATGCCGTGAAATTGCTGTATGAAAAACAATGATCATTCTCTTGTTGAGGCTCTCTTTTCTAGGTAGTAAAGCGACCAAACTGCTCTTTTGCCTGTAAAATATTGGAGATCCCAATGCATTAATGTCAACACATTGCAATCATCGTAAAGGAAAGGGCCCAGCTTGCGAAGACTACAAAAGTAAAAGGCTGTTAATCAAATAAATTTGCTGCCACGTTCATGCTGTCTTTCAAGGTTCGGTACCGCACAGTCATCCAATACCACCAAACTCGCTTTGATATCAAGTCTGTGACGCGTTTTTTCTGCTTATCAAAGAGTAGGCTCGTTCCCTTGCACTGCTCCTCCTGTTTTACTAGCAACACTATACAGCAGTTAATGAGGATTCAGTGTATTCGTTTATAGCTATAACATCATGGCAAGCTCACCAGTACCATTGCAATACAACCTTAACCGGTAGCCAGTTCAAATCTCACACTCCAATCTTATGTGAATGCACCAGACCAGTTCGAGACAAGTGGCCTTTTTTCCTTATTTAACAATATTAGTGTGCGTCATCAGCATAGTTGTGGCCCGAGAAACCAGTTGTGTTGGGTATTGCATAGCTCATATCATTCCAGCCTTGCCACTACCATTCTACGCCGCTTTGGTTCGTTTTTGAGGTGTCAATTCAATTTTGTCTTTTGCTTCGATCTTGTCAAGCTTAACTCCCGAAATTTTGCTGAAAGTTTTTGTTAGTGTTCGGAGAAAAACGGGACCTGATGAAATGGAAAAAAAGTGTTTCAATCGCTGTTATTCTGGCTGCAGGGCTTCTGCAGTTTTTTGGTTGCGTCACTCTGAAGAAGCCTATACACGGATCTTAGAAACAACCTACTCAGCACTTTGAAAACAAGCTATGATGATGAAAGCATCCAATTTGTGGTGAAGGCATCAGGGCGTCGTACTGCTCATACTGTAATGCTTTCTCCTAAGTCTTTGCATAGGTATAGGCTGGGAATGGAAAACGGCAAAAGTATGAAATAGTCGTAGCTTGGGAAGATATCGATGAAACTTTTCATGAAGTCTATACCGAATCCGATGTTTTCGTATCTGTCAAGCTCTGGAACTCTAACAAAAATAAAACTATGGCAAAGGTGACTTAATTGAGATCACCCTTCTGAATTTCTTCTGAATTCGTCATCGGGAATTTCGCGGCCATCTTGCTGTGGCTCATGCGGGAGTTATGAAATGATATGACAGGTGGAATGGCCTCGACCAAAGCGTCTTTGTCTCGTAGGCTGTTTTCAGTGAGCCCTCCTTGAACTTTATATCCAAGTAATTATAGGGCAATGTGTGACGAAGAAATCATACCTCCTTTGTTATCGCAAGTGGTACAAAAGATGGGGTTTTCTCGCTGTTTGAAAATTCAGTGGCTCAGTACTGATGGCACATTGACACTTATGCTTTTTTTTATTTTTTCTACGAAAAATTTAGCGTGTCACGGTTGATACGACTGCCATTTAAAACCTCAGTCTGTGGGAAACTTGTCACATTTCTCATCCAGAACTTTTTTGAAGTGTTTAACATTCCTTCAATACTTTGTTTTGAGGAAATATATAAGAGGCACACGATTTGAAGAGAGCGTTCGAGCGGATGGGAAGATCGTTGCCGTCACAGGTGCTAACTCCGGTATTGGTGAGTTGCAAAGTTCATTTCAAGAGAATCATTGGTTGCGAAAAGAAAGATTTGTATATTGTCTGTTCGATGCTCGAGATCCGTTACCATTACTTCGCCCTGTGCCTATACTATAAATTTTTTAAGATATCAAACAGAATATCCCACGAAATCCAGCATGAACAATACAGCCGTTCGACGCTAGTCGAGCTGATTTGTTCTCCTGTACCGACTACACCCTTCCGTCGACAAACAGGGCAGCGGGAGTCACTGCACTCAAGAGTCACTACGCTCAAGAGCGCACTATTACATATGTGATCTAGGGGTCGAGTTCCAGAGAGATAGTCGACCGAGACTTTCGCCTCTTTGAAACGAATTGCTTGGTTGCGGATCTGCCCTCAAACATAGCAGTATCGACCTGCATAATGGTTGGTCGTCGCGGGTCTCAAAGGGTTTAGGTCGCTACCATAATGCTAGGTTGTTGGTTGCGTAAGCTTTTCATACACAGTATATGTGAATAACATGCTCAAAAAGGCTAAGCTGGCGTTTTGACCTTGGTATGCTACTGCGTATCATACTCGTTGTTCCAGATTCTTCGTCGTCCTCATCATTTTGTGTAATGTAGCCAGCTCAAAAAAGACTATGTTCTTTTTTGTGAGCCTGCGGTGTTTTCCCTTTACTAGAAGGAAAGAGAAGAAGAAGGTCACTTCTTGAGCCAAGAGCCTTCCTACAACCTTTAGGCGCTCGAGGTGCGCTCCACCTGGAATGCGGCCTGCAGAGTGTCTTTATTTTATGCCCATGAATCTGAAGCTGCCGAAAATAGACTTATGTAATTACTTACGTAGTTCAGAAAGGGAATGTTTTTACATTTAATCTGCTCGAATCCATTTCGAGTAAATGGCGGTCAAAGCGAGCCGTGCCAGGACAATCTTGAGAGTAGGTTATGTTATCAAAGCCGGGAACAAAGGTTTTCGTAAAGTAAGTGGAGGCATGTGGAATGTATGAGCATCCCACATGTGTGTGAGTGAGCACGAAAGATATAATAAATAAATACAACCAATAAATAAATTTATGGCATCGATCAATCCCTATTTGAGATGCACTGTCGGTCTGAGCAGTTAGCGGTCTGAGGTTCGAAACGCGGACCGTTGGTGTGTGATGATGTGCCACTTGGAACTACATCACTTTCTCCAATTCAGTTTCATAAAATGATATGTGTATCTGTTTTCAGTGTTTCGAACATATGGACAATTGTTTCAGGCCAAGCTATAACTGCTGAGCTCAATCGGCGTGGTGCAACCGTGTATATGCTGATCCGGGATAAACAACGAGGCGTGGAATGTATAAAGAGACTGGAAAAGGTATAGATGCTATTCCCGATTGGAAAGATTAGTTTGTTCCCAAAACATTCGAATTCATAGGAGGGATGTGATCCAAAGAGGCTTATTATTCGCTATCTGGATTTGGCTGTTCTCAGCTCTGTGAGGGATTTCGTGGAGGAATTTCGCAAAGGTTGCTTCAGTTTGGAAATCCAGCCGTATAACCAGTTTTGTTTTTTGATCTTATACTCGTAAAAATGAAGAAATGTCAAGAGCAATTGCACCTGTTTAAGAAGTGCCTCGTCTCGACATCCTCATCTGCAATGCTGGTGTCCTGTGTGTGCCAACTTTCACAAAAACTGTCGATGGATTCGAAAAAACGTGGCAATGTAACTACTTAGGTAGGTATGCATATGCTCAGAACCAGACTTCAACTAACAAACACAATTGGTCAAGCTGTTACATTTTGTGTAATGAGAGAACAAATTGGTTTTTGATTTAATGACTGGGAAGTGCCTGGACCGAAGACTATACATGGGAATGGGAGCTTCTTTTCTACCTCAAAAAAGAGTAATTGTTGTTGAAAGTGAACAGCAAAATTGCTTCATTGTTATGTGCGCTTAACATGACTTCACTGGAAGACGAACTGAAAATCTCGAGCCATTAAATTTCACTTCATTTGGGCTGTCTTGTCGAAGATTGACGAATCCCAAAAATGTCTCTTCTGAAAGGAATCTCCTTTTCTCAGAGAACCCATTCATAACTCATCAACATGGCTCTTATTCTGCCATATGCGTGTATAGATATGTGCAGGGTGACTAAAAATATGAGGCGCATAAAAGATCGCATGTTCGCGCTGAACCGATTAGTATCTTCATACTGCTTCAAAACTGTTTAAACTATCGGAATCTACTCCAGAGACGTCATTGTACAGCTGATCTCGTCTTGATACGAACTCCCGTGGAAGGCTTCGCAGCGCCGTTCCATTATCGAAAAGCTGTTCAAGGATGTACTGAAAACTTTTATTATCGTGGAGTGAGTTGCGGTCTACTTTTCTACTTTCGGAACGTGGATCATTCGGTGCTCCGCTCAACAACAATCTTTCGTTCGATCAGGCTTCTTCCCATTTCTCCAACTTCCCAATCAAAAAGGTACTAGGCGCTCATTCTCCAGGATACTCGGGCGAGAGTTTATGGTCTCTCAAGCAGACCTTCTATGCTTCCGGGCTTAAATGTTAATTTGCACTAAAACCGTACATATTCGTCTGGAAGGTAATAGCGCCCAAATACATATCGAATAGTCCCCTCAAGTCATGTGAATATGCTGCCCAAATGCAACCGCTGTGAATATTGCAACGTTCAATGTTGACGCGTTGACTTACTGCTCCTACGAGGTTATGGATGCACTAGAGAGTAGAGGATGGATGCATAAGCTGGCGAAAGATTAAATGGTTGTGCTTCATGCCGAGAGATATTTTCAGTGGCTTCGGAGCTGCTTTTTGCGGCGGTGCTGAATCCGGCAACGAATTGCTGCTTTCAGTTTCGTTTTCGCACCTCGATTGTAAGCAAAAACGAACATCGCACTAGTCTATCGCAAATTGCGTCATTCTCTCATTTCTTCTGCCCTGTCATTGAAGGGCCCGTTCAGAAGATAATCGTCATAGAAATGCAAACAGCTGCGAAAACGATGAAGTTCGCTGGGGCAGTAAATTCTAGTGACTTCGCAGTCGGCCTGCAGAAATCTCGGTACTGAACTCTGGTGTTGATTGAAATTTTTCAAACAGTCGTTTTATAGAAGAGGGTGTCTGAGAGTTGACAATATGCATTCGGATTGCAAAAACAAACACAGCTGTACAGATTGCCGAGTTATCAACCACCTTGTATGCTCTAGCACATCATGGAAGTGTCTGAGCGAATGGCATGTGCAAGGTGCTCGTTTTCTGTCAGCAAATGTTGTGAGAAACCGAAAGTAGACCATTGCTATTTCAACTTTGAAGGATGTTTTCGATTACATTCACCTTGAAGTGATCTGGTGCACCATGCGACAGCGCCGGGCTAACAAAACGAGGGTCAACAAGTACCTCTTCGGAACTTCCCAGAGGTAGACCAAGGCTCTACCAATCCCACACTCTTGTTTGTTGCTGTCATGTATACCTTTCCAAAAGTCAGTGTTGTTCAATGTGCTGATGAATTGATGCATGCATGCGAACACATACAAGGAAGGATCTACTCGAGTAACAAGTGCACGTTTGCTCTGATAGTCTGGCAATGTTCGCACTACGTCATACCCTAAGAAGACATGGCTAAAAGCCGCTGCAAAACGAGACCCTGTTGAATTTTGACGTTACAGCAAAGTGGCCCGAGGGGCATTCAAAGCAGCGTTGCCATGATGAACAGCATGAGCACTTGACAATTCACTGCGTTCAATAATGAAACAGCCATGCATGAATTTCTCTGAAGCTCGCGTTCCAGGGCACTTCAATAAGTCTTAGTATAGAAAGTTGCCCTATCCAGACCGTGACTTGTAGACCAACAGCAAGTTCCATCTCAAGAACATGGAAAATTTCCCCTTCCCTTTTTTCAGGAAAGGTCACTTCTCATGTTTCAAACTGATGCAGCCACCAACTAAATCAATTTATTCAGGAGCTAAATGATAACAAGGAGAGGGATTTGCGTGATTAATAACTATTTGGAACCCCTTCCTTCAAATTTCCTCAAAAATGCGATTGTCCAAGCTAAAGTGAGGCCATCAATGATTTCCTAGTCAACTTTCTGCCCCAACCGTCAACGATTGCTTTCTTCAGCTCATTGAGGTGTGCCTCCACATTGCTTGTTTTCTTCATAACGTTTCCTTACCATGAATCCCCACACATTATCCATCGACTTCGAGTCAGGGTTGTTCGCCGGCCAGGGCAAAAGGTCAAATTGGTGGTACATCAACAACTACACCAGGTCTGAGTGATCTGGCTGACCTGACGGGCATTATCCCGCATGGATACGAGGTTCTGCTGCCGATTCTAACGCCAAAAAGGAAGAAGAGCACGGCGTATTACGACACGATAAAGCGCGAATAGCTATCTCGGTGCTTTCCGGTAATAAGGGTGTATTCCTCATTCTTCGCCCAGCGAAAAACTCAGACTTATTTTTTTCATTTCAAATAGTAATACTCGAGACATTGAGTTTTAAAAAGGCGTTGATTTCAGTCGTACTCTTCGCTTCTCTCAAAATCCGTCGCTTGTCTCTTTCCGTGTGTGACAGAGGACGTCCCGTACTTTTTTTGCTGACACCTATACTCTGAGTATTGCTGGCACTATTGCGTGGCATCGGCCCAGGTCTCAGGCGATTCTACGATTTGACAGCCCCTATTCCTTTTTTGCCATGAGAGTTTGACTTTTCTCGGAATCAGATAGGGACCTTCTTTTACCCATCACCTGAATTTGGAAAACACGCATTCTGTGAGGTGAAGATGGAACACGACGGGAGAATATAAGATGACTGTATCATTTTGGAACATATGCGAAGCGTTTTTTTTTTTGAAAAATGAAAGGAAAAATTCCCTTTTTCTTGAGATAAGACTTGCTGTCGGTCTACAAGTTGCGATATGGATAGAACGATCTTTGCATATTAAGCCTTTTCCCAAAATGCCCTGAGGTTTGGTGAAATTCATTGGTCGCTGTATCATTATTAAATACAGTAGTTAGCTCTCGTCAAGATCTTTTGATGCTGGCAACAGTATAGTAGGAAAGCCGACTCCTTTACAAATAGGGGAAAAGCTGGAGAAAAGTTGAGGAAGCGGTGCTGCACTCCGCATAATCGTATTCGTAAACTTAAATGTAGTTAATTTCAGTCCACACTTCTCTTGGGAAATATACGAAATATAAAGAAACTGGCTCTGAGAACCTTGGAAAGCGCTTCCAGAGCTCGAAAGATCTGATTTTGGAAGTAGCAAGGTAGCAAAGTAGCAATAAGGGCGTGCGTTTCATCTCGATGTTGTGCCGCCCAAGCTCGGTTGCCTGGATTGTGTCGTCAAGTTAAACAACGCAAAAATACAGTATTGCGCATTGCACGAGTGGGAAGGAGAACGACGGATTCTTACTTTTGACACACCTACCCAAACTTACTATACGTACAAGCTGTAAGCCAACTCTACACAAGTGAAAGTGTTCTGGGGTTTTTATATTTCATCGAATTTTAGGTCACTTTCTGCTCACACAACTTCTATTGCCTTTATTATCCAAATCATGTGACGGACGTATCATTAATATATCATCAGTTCTGTATGAATTTGCAGATAGCGTGAGGTAGTTTTAGAACTTTTTGCGAGCCCAAAATACCCTTCCTTCATAAACAGGAGTTTAGTTTTGACGTTGTAAACGATCCTGCTCGTTATGGTGGCATGATGGCTTACAGTAGAAGCAAATTGGCGCAGGTTGGACTTTGGAAACACTTTCGGTGATTCGTGTTAGATGAGCTTGCTCCTTCAAGTGGATCTATCGCCCCTGCTGTCATCCCCCTTTTGTTCAGATTATGTACACGAAATATCTTGCAAAGCTTTTGGAACAAGAGAATTCCCCCATTACGGTTACTGTATGCCACCCAGGAAGTGTTGATACAAACATCCTCAAAGAATCCGGATTCCAATGGGTCCGTGTAGTATTCAGGTATGTCGTTCTTTTAGAAGCTGATTCACTACTTTCCAAAACCCGATTTTGAAGGCCGTTAATGTGGTTCGTGCTGAAGACGAAGGATGATGGTGCACAAATGCCCCTCTTTCTAGCACTCAGTGAGAAGCTACAGAACAGTAATGGACAATACTTCAGGTGAGCTCATATCGCTTCTTCAGTTTTCGTGCAGGTGAGGCGATCCATAGAAATTGTCAACAAAAGTTTGTATGCATCAGTTTTGGTGGTATTTGTGAGTCTGCTCAGATACCCCACGCACTTGACTCTCACGAGCACCCGTATCTGCACTTCATGTGCGAATGTGACGTTTATAGTCGCGATAATTCGAGAGGCGAGACGATTTCTGGCAGTCCGTAACCCGTGTTCGTACAGTCTGCTTTCCCAGTACTTACGTAAAGTTGTTTGACTATGCTGCTGAAGCACTGGTATTGTTATTGATGGGATACTCGCAGGTATTCTCTGCAGATGGTTCTTCTCTTCAGCCTCTCATTCATATAAAATATAGTAAAACTAGGCGGAGGTGGTGCAGTCGCAAGTGGCGCACTTCATACACTCATGGTCACAGGTTCGAATCCCTTATCGATATCCGCCTCTGCCAACCAAACCTTCCATCACTCAGAGGTGGGTTAATTGGTACCAGACTTGTCTGAGACGATAAAAGCACTGACTTCTACATCGGCTGGCGCATCCCTCAGACGGAATTGATTACTGCCAAAATTTTCATCCTTTAACTTATAATAAAACTCGGCACTAAATGAGTGCCCGACTGATATGCCACTTGATAGGTGACTAAAGCCTAACTTTATGACTCACTCTGCGACACTCTAATTTCCAGAGATTTTGCCATCCGAGAAGCAAAAGCGAAGTGTTGGCAAGAAGATTCATGCAAAAAGTTATTCGAGGAATCACTTCAAGCAGTGAATGCTCACTGAATGCGAGCTGCGGGTGAATATAATTTGTGATCTCTTGTTGTTACTATGTTTGACAGCAAATGTAGGTCTTCGTGTATACGATTTTGTTGTAAAAATTATACTCATGGTGTTGGTCGCAATATAATAACCAACCTTTCGTCACAGGGACTTATAGCCTTGAAATGAGCTTCAAAGTATTTACATGCTTTACCTTTTCAGAATCTAAATTATAGAAATATGTTGACAACGCTGCCGTAACTCCGGCCACGAACTTTTCAGCACCATTGGTATACCTCGATAACCGAACTTATTCATATGAATGCAAATGCTAAAAGCATGGAAAGCAATTGGATCACCCAGCTTGAGCAGGTGCCATCCTGTCGTCTTCTGAACGGTCTACTTAGTAGTCTCCGGTCATCATTGAAAGATTGCNAGAATCTAAATTATAGAAATATGTTGACAACGCTGCCGTAACTCCGGCCACGAACTTTTCAGCATCATTGGTATACCTCGATAACCGAACTTATTCATTTGAATGCAAACGCTAAAAGCATGAAAAGCATTTGGATCAGCCAGCTCGAGCAGGTGCCATCCTGTCGTCTTCTGAACGGTCTACTTAGTAGTCTCCGGTCATCATTGAAAGATTGCATCGCGGTAAACACTGAACCGGCTCAAACATCTTCATCATCATCTTTCGTATCAATATTAGGTTTTCTAACATAGTACACACTCACTCATTATGCACACGGCTTTATTATCGTGCCGGTCGGATCGCCCGTTGCTAATGGCGCGCCCTTTTTACGTGACAAAATGGTCAATCACCCACGCCCTCTCTACGCTCCCTCTCGCTGGTGCAGTAAAACAAAAGTATAAACCTCTTGCCAAATCCATGCGCACACACCCAATACACTTCGTGAGTGCCTCTCCCTCCATGAAGACTCAGTCCAAATATGCATTTCGAGCAGACTCGTACCATGTGGGCGGAGCCTAACGCTGCAATCTATCACCAGTGTTCAACTGTATCTGTTTGCTGTACTTCTGTCAAATTTAAATGCTCTAGATCCATGAGAAGAAGATTTATTAATTTCTGGCCTGGCAAACGCACATGCACACATATACACACAAACGCACCAACAAGTGCACCTAGCTGATTATATAAGTAGCATGTTTTGGGGTAAAATGATATATGGTCATGATGTTATGAACCTTTGGTGTGGAGAAAAAGAACCTCATCAATCCTGCTGCAGGCGCGGTCTTCAGAGCCTTTCTCCGCGACGCATCCATCGTTATCCTGCTGCAAGATCCACCCTGCTGCCATGGGCTGCTGTGCCCACGGCAAGAGGACGATGACCATCGGCAGTAATCTCGTGTCAGTGTGTCGTGCCGTCAGTGTTCAAAACATTGTCCATTCCGTTCGAGGAGGAGGCGCTGTATGCCATCACATTTCCTCACCATGCTTTGTTGTGAACAGGGTGTACCTTAGATTGAACCTTTCTCCAGATGAACGTCGATCGTACCGTATACCATTGCTTCCAAACATTTAACTTGCCCTCGCCTGTGAAAAAAAACTTCTCTTTAGTTGGTCGTAGTTCAGCTGAGGTGACGGTGTGCAAACTCCACGCTAGCCCTCTTTTTTTTTGGACTGATGAAAGGCTTCTCGGCTTGACCCCTCCCATAAATACTAGCATTATTTAGGCGTGAGTATGATTCCATCATTAGCGTTGAACTCGGCGGCACTTCCAACCGCAGTGAGGCAAGGGTCAGCCCTCGACCGATGTATGATCCGTCTGTCTTGGGCTGATGAAGTGCGTCGAGGTCTTCCCCTTTTTTCAGCATTACAAACAGAGTTTCTGACCAGGTAGCACTGGCCAGTCGAAAAACTGTCTGCTATAGGATGTAAAAATTCTTAAAATAACCTTTACTTCCAATTCCTTCACATTTGCTGCTGCCTGCCATACCTCCTGAATGGCTTCTACCCTTCTATGCATGCTTTAAGTGTACAAACACTAACGTCGAGCACGAACGCACGAACAAATGTCGCGAACTATTAAATCAGAAAATGCTACGATAGTGAAACTTTTGCACGTTCCCTAGTTTGGACGCCGAAAAGTATAGTTTGGTTTCGATCGATTTGAGATTTGACATATCAAAATTTTTCTTGAATTCCTTCACTTGAAAAAAAACTTGCGCTTTTAAAAGCTTTTTACCATAGCTCTTCACCGCTGCTGTAGGGCGCATAAGAGGAGAGTGTAGGCCATGACTTGTCGCTGTAGAAATGCAGAATGAACTCGTATTATCACTTCCCCTATGAATGTAAACTCCGATAACCTCAATCGCAGCAACGTCGTTGTGCAGGCAACCTTAATTGATGGGTTGACTACGCTACGGTACGCTGTACGAAAGGCGCTTCAATTTGGCGCTGAGAAAACATGTTCCAATCACGAAGAAGCAATCCTAATTGGTGCCTGATAGCTCTGAGACTGACACCGTCTTCACCATTGAGCAGTTGTTGATAGATGTTGTGCTGCTTGCTATCTGCTTGCAATCGCAAAAAGCACGACAAGAGGATTATGACTTTCAACTCATCAAATGAAATCCTGAGTCTATCACATCAGTACTGACTTCGTTGTAGGGTCGAGAAGTGTCCATTTGGAAAGTATCTACTGGCATATCTACGGGAAGATCTTGGATTAACCCATTCACGACCGCGTCACGCCATATCGTGCTTCTGTAGTATTTATATTATCTATCAAGAGTTCTTATAATTTTTTTAATGTTTTCAAGTATCAGCTAAAATCACAACGATAGAGAATCTTGAGACATCGTGGTCCAGGATTTATTCACTTCCAACTACAGTTATAAGAGAAATTAAAAGTCAATATAAGGACAATGTAAAAGGCACAGTCACCAATGGGTTAATCATTACCAGAAATCGTTTCGGGGAATTTTTGCGAGCTTTGCATTTGGGAATGCTGATGACGACCTTCTTTTCAAAACATCACATTTGTTGAAGTTGTTCAACGAACGAAAAATTCACCAAGGTAATGTACACCTTCGAAAAAACACCTTTACAATTGCAAAATTAGAGGATTTCCTAGGACTACGCTGCATGTAGTTTCATTGAGGCCTGATGTAATGTAATGAGAAGAAGAATTAAAAGAATGTG